CGGAGTGGGGTCAAAGAGCCTCAGCCTAGGTCTCACATCTTCTATAAATTTAACTTGGAAGGGATCACAAAGATTTAAATGTAAACGTAAAATTATAAAACATTTAGGAAAAAACATAGGAGAAAATCTTCAGGATCTAGGGCCAGGCAAAGAATTCTTAGAGTTGACTCCAAAAGCACAAGAAAATAAATGTAAAAGGAAAAGTTGATAAATTGGATTTCTTCCAAATTGAAGGCCAGCCTCGTAACTGAAGCATACGGTCCTGCTACACCCAACACTGGGCTGGTGGGCTAACCGGATGGAAAAATATGTTTATCCAAGTATGGCCTGAGGTCTCCAACGGCCATTCTGTGCCCTGCTGCAGTCAGCACCTGTTGTCATCCCTTCCTCCTAATTTTAGGCTTCCTGCTATTTACAATCCCTGGACGATGGGCTGTTGACTCTGGGATCAAAACAGAAAAGCAGGTGGGCCCCACGGTGGGCTGTGCAGTTCCAGATGGGTGTCCTGCCCAACCCCAGAGCACTGCACTCTCCAGGGCATTTGACCTAGTGCCCCTGGTGACTTCATGTCCTGCTGCCAACAGCGCACCGACCCCCAAAGTCACTCTTTGCATTTCTAGGAGCTTTGGTCCGTTCAGCATGACCAGACTGGAGAGGGAGGAGAGAGGCAGGGAGGGCAGCAAAACCAGAGTGACTCAGAGTGTCTGACACTCAGCGTGAGAGGTGTCTCGGTCCACTGTGCTGCTGCAAGAGAATCCTTAGACCAGGCAATTATAAACAGTAGAAATTGGCCAGGTGCGGTGGCTCACGCCTGTAATCCCAGCACCTTGGGAGGCCAAGGTGGACAGATCACGAGGGAGGCTGAGGCAGGAGAATCACTTGAACCCGGGATGCGGAGGTTGCAGTGAGCCGAGATCGTGCCACTGCACTCCAGCCTGGGCAACAGGGTGAGACTCCATCTCAAAAAGAAAAAAAAAAAAAATTGAAATTTATCATTCACAGTTCTGGAAGCTGGGAAGTTCAAGATCAAGGCACCATGTCTGTTGAGGGCCTGTTGCCTTTTTCCTGGTTCCTAGATGGTACCTTCTACATATCCTCACATGGAGGAAGGGGCACAGGGGCTGCCTCAGGCCCCCTCCATTTTTTTGAGACAGAGTCTGCTCTTTCGCCCAGGCTGGAGTGCAGTGGCGTGATCTCAGCTCACTGCAACTTCCCCTCCCAGGTTCAAGTGATTCTCCTGCCTCAGCCTCCTGAGTAGCTGGGATTACAGGCGTGCCACCATGCCCAGCTAATTTTTGTATTTTTACTAGAGATGGGGTTTCACCATGTTGGCCAGGCTGGTCTCGAACTCCTAACCTCAGGTGATTCACCAGCCTCGGCCTCCCAAAGTGCTGGGCTCAGAGGCATGAGCCACTGTGCCCAGCCATCAGGCCCCTTTTATACCGGCAGTCATTCGTTCCTGAGGGCAGAGTCCTCGCGACCTAATGACCTCCCAAAGGTCCCACCCCCTACTACTATCACCTTGGGAGTGAGACGATAACGTAAGAATGCTGGGGGGAGACCAACATTCAGTACATAGCTGGTGGGCTTCGGGCGGGGCAGAGGGCAGGGCTCTGTTCTCCCAGGGCCTGTCCACTGAGAGGACCCCGGCCCACCCACTGGGCTATTTGGTAAGACTGCAAGGCAGATGGTCAATTCTGCAAAAAAAGAAGAAAAAATCTGGCACCACAGCCCCCTAGTTCACTGAGAAAAGCGACCCTGTCTGGACACATACCCACAGTGGGATGCAGGGGAGAGGCCAGACCAGGGAACCTGAGGCCCAACCAGCGGGGCAGGTTTGAGACAAGACTAGTAGGAGGGGAGGGGGCAGGAGGTTCCCCCCAACCCAACGCCCTTGGCTGAGCAGGGGTGCTTCTGAGCTCACCGGTGCTCGGAGCTGCCTCCCCGGCTTGGACACCTGTGTAGAACGGCCGTCCCGCCCAACAAGCAGAGGCAACTTCCTCTCTACCGTGAGGAAATCGAGGCCTGGTGAGAAAGCTGGTGGCCAGGAGGGTGCTAGGGTCCTCGCAAAGTGTCCTGAGGAGACCCACACCTCCCTTGATACCAGACCGCCTGGCCAGGCTGCAGGAGCAGGGTCCAAGGCCTCCAGGAACCAAGGCCTGGCCCAGGCTCCACATCCCCCGAGGCCATCCTGACTCAGACTCCTGGCCTCCGGGAGCCTGGCTCTTCCAGGGAGCTACAGGGGACGGAACCTCCAGCTAGAGCAGGAGACAAGGCATGGAGTCCAGGCTTGTCTGAGGGGCCAAGGCCAAGCCCCCTCCAGCCCCTTCCCTGCTCTGCCATTAGGACCTGGCTCCTCCCGACTTCCGTGCACATCACATAGGCAGCGTCCCCCCTCTTTGCAGGCTGAGAACATCTGACGTGACCTGGGCACCTGAGGGGCACCCAGCACAGCCGGAGCATGGACCTGGAAAACCTCTGTTCTTCCGTGCATCAAGGTCTGAGTCATGGTTCTTAGCAGCTGCGTGACTCTGGCCAAGCTCCTCCCTGCAATGGGCCTCAGTTTCCACATCGTGATGGCACTAATCACGATGAAACGACCTGAGGAGACCGTTCTGCTGATGGAGTGAGCAGAATTACGAAGCTCACAAGGCCTAGCCCAGGGCGTGGCAGGCCCGCAGGTGCCCAAGGGAAAGCATGGATGTGGGAGAAAGGGCTGCCGGGCCCTCCCCGCTCCAGCGAGGACATGGGGCTCAGGGATAGAGCCCAATACTGTCCCAGAGCTCTGCCCAGGCGCCTCTTGGGGAAAGTGAGACTCAGTCTCACAAAGGCATCAGCCCCACGGAAGACAGGGCCAACCCCCCGGCTCCTCACTCCACTCCAGGGGTCTATGTCACCAGGGCCTCCTCCAGGGAGCCTTGGCAGCTCCAGATCACCCGCGGGCAAGGGGCTGGGATGGAAAGCCCCACGGCATGGTGGAAAGTCCAGAATTCTACAGGGGCCTCTTTGTTAACCTCCATGCAAGAGGCTGGGTGACGCCTGCCCACAGGGGTCAGGCCCCAGCCCGATGACACAGGTGCACCCGCAAAGATTTCAGGTCTTTTTAAAAAAGTGAAGTGCAGACTTGGATCCTGCTTTGCAGTTTTTAATTGCCCTTTAACTATCTCTCGGCTAAGACATCCATGGACTCACTTAACCATCTGGGGAGAGAAAAGCCACCAGGGAGTGACTTCAGGGCAGGATGGCCTCAAAGGAGAGAAGAAAGCCCCCCGAGTTGCCGGCAGCAACAGTTACTGGTCATCCCAAAGCTGCGTGCACTGGTTCCCTGGCACCCCAGGGACATTTATGCATGAACGGTGGAGCCTGTGGGCCCGAGGGTTGCCATTGAACTTGATGTTAGTGAGCTCTCCCCACGTGAGAGCCTGCCCGTGGATAAGCAAGGAGAATGGGGGTGTTGCAGGAGCAGGCAGGGATCCTGCGCAGAGCTGGGCTTCTGTACGACTTCTGCTTGCGCTTACTTAAATATTTTTGCCGTAAATACAGAACTACAGGGGAGAGGGCAGGAAACCCAGCGAGCAGCAGCCTGGTCTGGCTGGGGACAGGATGTGCCTGTTGGAGCGGGGACCGGCAAGGCAGGCAGGCAGGCGGGGGGGCTCCCCTCCCGGGGTCTTCGGAAGGCGCAGTGCAGGGAGTGAGAGCACACTCCACACACCCAGGCATGGGCAGCGAGAGGGCCCTGCTCCCAGCTCAGAGCTCCCAGGACATTCCACACAGGAGCCAGCCTGTTCCCCCCCCTGCACTGCCTGATACTCCACAGCCACCACTGGCTTTCTGAGATGGATCCCCTCCCCCACAGCTCCCCACGATGTCCCCAGCACCTGACCCCAGGCTGACCACCGCAGTCACCACCTCTGGCCCCACCTTCCTCCCCAGGTTTGTTCCCAAACACCCCCAGAGTCTTTTCCAGACGTGCAGAACGTTCAGGGGGACCTTGGGCCTGGAGGCGGTAGGAGAAACCGAGACCGATCTCCGGTCTGGAGAAGAGGTGCCCGCCGCTCCCCATCCTGGACTCTGGCTGCCCACAGCAAACGGCACGCCTGCGCACATGGGACTCTTGGTGACATCTCTCACTGCATCAGTTATCCCCTCATCCCAGTGCTGCCCGGATTCAGCCTTCCTGGTACCTTCGTCCACCCTTCAGCCCTAAGCCTGCTGGCCAGGTCATTCCCTTCTCCCACTCAGTGGGAACACTCGTGCCCAGAGTCCTCTTGTGGTTCTCTGCAGCCTGCACACAGGGCCTGCCTCCCTGGCTTGACCGCAAAGACTAGCGAACTGTGTTACCAAGGCCTCCCACTGAGGCCACCCTACTCCAGGCCATGCCTCCGCGGCTGCCACAGCCTCGGCACCATTGCAGGCCCCGGGCCTCTGCACCTGCTCCTGCTTTACTGGGGGCACTGTCCCCACCCATGTCCACCTGGGACCTTTGGCTCCTGCCCACTGCAGCTCCCCTCCAGGACACCTTCCCAGATGCCCCTGGAAGTTCCTGTCCAGGCCACAGCATCCCCCAGCCTCTGTCACTGGTCCTAGGAAGATCCCTAGGGAGCCCTCCCTCAGGGCCACACTCAGGAAACCTGTTGTGGGGCCGGCCATCTTCCTTCTAAAGCACCTGGAGGAAGGAAGTAGGGGGTCAATGCCAGCCTCAGTCTCCAGGCGAATGTGCCCTTTTTAAAGATCAGGGAACTGAGGCTCAGAGAAGGAAAGGGCTTGCCGGCATCACACAGCCAGCCTGAGATGGTGAAGTCAGGAGCCTCCCCGGGGACGCCCAGGGCTGCGGTACCGTCTCCTCCATCAGACTGGGCCTCCACCCGGCTCCTCCCACAGCCCCAGGCGGGCCCCTGAGTAGGGGCTTTCAGCTTGTGTGGAGGTTCCCCAGGGACACCACCCCGATCCAGCCTCCATGGAGGCTCTTGCCGGCCACTGGGAGGGGCCATTGCACCCCGGGCAGCCCCTGCCAGGCCCTGAGGCCCGAGCTCCCCGCCGAGGGTACCTGTCCCGGCTTTGCCCCATTCGAGCAGGGCCCTGGGGGAGGCAGGACGGGGCCACACTGGGAAGTGAGAGGCCTCTGAGTCCCGCGCAGAGCAGGTCTCCGTCCCCAGCCCCCAAAGCAGCTGCCCTGGTGGGTGAGTCAGGCCGGTGCGGAGACTTCCCAGGAGCGAGGGAGGGAGCGCAGCGCCTCCATCACAGGGAAGCGTCCCCGCGGGAGGCTCTGGCCCTGATTGGGCGCCGGGGCGGAGCGGCCTTTGCTCTTTGCGTGGTCGCGGGGGTATAACAGCGGCGCGCGTGGCTCGCAGACCCAGGGAGACGGGCGGGCGCACAGCCGGCGCGGACGCCCCACAGCCCCGCCGGGACCCGAGGCCAGGCGAGGGGCTGCCAGTGTCCCGGGACCCACCGCGCCCGCCCCAGCCCCGGGTCCCCGCGCTGACCCCATGGCGGCGGACGCAGCCCTGCGCCGGCTTCTGAGGCTGCACCGCACGGAGATCGCGGTGGCCGTGGACAGCGCCTTCCCACTGCTGCACGCGCTGGCCGACCACGACGTGGTCCCCGAGGACAAGTTCCAGGTGGGGCCCCCGCCCGCCCTCCACGGCCCCCAGGCCCTGCGAGCCAGGGATAGTCCCCAGGGAAGTTCCAGGAGGACCCCGCCCCATGCCTCCCGGCCCCTCCAGATCCCCAGGCCCCTCCAGCCTTTGTCAACTCCCTCCCGGCAAGGAGCCAGGGCGTCCCTGAGGACAAGTTAGAAGTTGGTCCCCTTCCCCCAGCCGTCCCCACACCTCACCCCCAAGCCAAGGGAGTGGCCTTCAGGTTCCCCCAGTCCCACCCTCAACACCCTACACCACCACCTGACCCCACCACAAGCCAAGGAGATGGGCGCGGAGCTGCCCAGGTCGCCAGCACCTCTGCCTGGGAGCTCCACCCTCTAGTCATGGTGGAGATGGGCAGGCCTCAGGGTGTGGGGGACCACGGCAGGGACCCTCACGCCACCCCACTGCAGGAGACGCTTCGTCTGAAGGAAAAGGAGGGCTGCCCCCAGGCCTTCCACGCCCTCCTGTCCTGGCTGCTGACCCAGGACTCCACAGTCATCCTGGACTTCTGGAGGGTTCTGTTCAAGGACTACAACCTGGAGCGCTATGGCCGGCTGCAGCCCATCCTGGACAGCTTCCCCAAAGGTGGGTCCTGGTGGGCTCGGCCACGCTGGGGGCCTGAGGCAGCTGCTGTCACCTGCTCAGCCCAGCTGGACTGGAACCAGAGTGGTGTTTGAGGAGCCCGTGGGTGATATCCCAGGACCATCTTGGATCCTAAGAGGCAAAGGGGCCAGACCTCACCCACCTGGCCAGGGTGTCCAGTTTCTGGGGCCCATCCTCCCCCCGGAGAAAACCCTGAGGCTGGGACCCTGCTCCTGCCCCTGAGCTGCAGATGTGGACCTCAGCCAATCCCGGAAGGGGAGGAAGCCCCCGACCATCCCCAAGGCTTTGGTGCCACCACCCAGACACCCCGCCAAGAGGAAGGCCTCAGAAGAACCTCGAGCTGCCGCGCCAGCAGCCCTGACTCCAAGGGGCACCCCCAGCCCAGGTACCCCACAGGGGAAGCCAGCCGGGGTCTCCAGTCTTCCCCGGGAGCCCATGCCCCCTCCCCACCCGGGCTCCGACCCACTGGGCGTGGAGCCAGCCTGCCTGGGGCTGTGGGGGTCTCCTCTGGGTACTAGACCAACACACTGGACCAGCCTCTCAGCTCCCTCCTGCCTGAAGGGTGACCTCCCCAGTCTGGCAAAGTAGGCAGGCGAGTTTCCTTTTACTGATGAGAAACCAGAGCCTGGCAAAGGGAATACCCAGCACTGGGCCCCTTCCACCCCTCCCTCCTCTGGCCCCTGCCCACCAGCACTTACCCCCACTGAGAGGGGAGGCCAGGCTGCCCCCAGCTCCCCCGTTCAGGCTCTCAACTGAAGGCCAAGCCCTCCAAGAAGGCGGAGAGCAGCGCAGAGCAGCAGCGTCTTCCACTTGGGAACGGTGAGTGGGGCCCAGTGGGAGCGCCTCCCTTCTGCCTGGCCAGGGGCAAGGGGTCAGGGGTCAGAGCAGGGCCTGCCCTCTGAGACCCTGTCCTAGGGGCTGCGGACATGCTGGCCTGGCGTGTCATTCCAAGGGCCTAAGCTGCACCACCAGACCCAGGAAGGGGACACCTTGGGTCCATGCACGATCTTGCCAGTCGCCCCTGCCCCCACCACACCCTGGTTCTGGGACCCCCTTCTCAGGCACTTCTCTGCCCATCCACTCCCTGTCCTTCAGGACCAGTCCAGACATGGCTTCCTCCAGAAAATCATCCCCGGCCCCCAGCTGCATGCAAGCTGGACTCTTCCTGTCCCCTTCTCCTTCCTTCCCAGGGCTCTGGACTCCAGAGACCCCCTATGCCCACTGCTGCCCGCCCTGAGGGCAGAGCCTAGGAACTCTGTGTCCCTCCCAGCACAACACAGGGCCCATGTCATGGTGGGGGCTGGTCATTGGGCATTCCTTCCTCTCTATTGTGCCAGCTCTGCTGACACTGCCACCCCCAGCACACGCACACATGGGTGCACACACGAACACACACGTTCTCATGTCTCTGCCCTTACCTGTGGGCTGTCTGCACAAGGCGGGGCTGGATTCCCTCCTCGGCCTGCCCTGGCTGGAAGGAAAGGGCTCTGCAGCCCCATACTGCCTGCTCCTGGCACAGAGTTTGTGCTCGGGAACTGTCTTCCCCATGGGTGACCCCAATGGGTGCTCCCTTTCCCAGGGATTCAGACCATGTCAGCTTCAGTCCAGAGAGCTGTGGCCATGTCCTCTGGGGACGTCCCGGGAGCCCGAGGGGCCGTGGAGGGGATTCTCATCCAGCAGGTGTTTGAGTCAGGTAGATGCTGTGGCGGGGAGATGGGACTGACCGGGAGACCCAGGCTCCAAGATGGAAGGAGGATCGCGCCCCTGTGTGTCCCTCCGCGCCCCTCTCCACGCCCCTCCACGTCCCTCCGCGCCCCTTTGCACCCTAGTGGTCCCATAGCAGGCAGGGCTGTCGCTCATGTAGCCAGAGTTTCTGCCTGTGGTTCTGATGACTTTGGAGGAGGAGAGTGGGCACTGAAGTCTCCCTGTCAGGGGACCTTCTTCAAGGCCGGTGGTCCAGGCCCACATCCCAGCCCGGGATGCGCTGCACCCCCAGTCACCTCCATCCATGTGCATGGGCCCTCCTGGGCCATGGGGCTGCATCCTTAGAAAGTTCTGTCTTTGCTACTGAGACCCTCCAGGGTGTCTGCACTCTTCAACCAGGACAGCCTGCAGGGTCCTCACCCCCCATTCCCTGGCCGGCCTGCAGGGTCCTCACCCCCCATTCCCTGGCCGGCCTGCAGCGTCCTCGCCCCCCATTCCCTGGCCGGCCACTGACCCCATGCAATCACCAGTGCCATCTGACCAGGGCACAGCAGAGCTGCTGGTGGCAGACCCACCGTGCCATCGGACATTCCATCTACAGTCCCTGCCACGGCGTCTCCTCAGTGCTGGGCATGGGCTGGGAACACCAGGCACAGCCAGGGCCCTGGTCTTGCACTTCTGGGTGGTCCCAAGACCCACTGTGTTACTTCCTAAGGCTGTTGGATCAAATGGCACAAACTGGGAAGCTTGAAATGACAGAAATGCCAACATCAAGGTGTCTCGGGGCCACACTCCCTCTGCAGGTTGCAGGGAAGAATCCTTCCTTGTCCCTCCCAGCTGCTGGTCGTTATGGGGGTGTCCCTGTGCCCCTTGTTCCTGGGATCAGGATCCCACCACTCCAGTCTCTGCCTCTGCGGTCTCACAGCCGTCTCCCATGTGTCCTCTTTACAAGGGCACCAGTCATTGAACTTATGGTCCAGTGTGACCTCATCTTAACTAATCACATCTATAATGACCCCAATTCCAAGTAAGGACACACTCTGAGGTTCTAGGTGGACGTGAACTTTGGGGGACACTATTGAACACCTTGGTGTAGACCTGGGACAATCCCCGGGCCCCAGACTCCACTGGGGTGGGGGCGGGCTGGAGGAACGCAGGCTGTGGGAACTCCACCTGTCTCTGCTAGACCCCAGTCCGGGGCCTACACGACTGCCAAGGCAGGTCCTGCTGGGTAGGTGAGCCAGGACCAGCCGGCATCTCCTCCCAGGGGGCTCCAAGAAGTGCATCCAGGTCGGGGGGGAGTTCTACACTCCTAGCAAGTTCGAAGACCCCAGTGGTGGGAAGAACAAGGCCCGCAGCGGCGGTGGCCTGAAGCCTCTGGTTCGAGCCAAGGGAGCCCAGGGCGCTGCCCCCGTAAGCACCTGACCCTCCCTGGGGAGCCCGGCTCTTGATGCACCCCCACCCCAGGAACAGCATTGCCTCTGGGGGAGTGGCTCTGCTGGGGGGCTGGCGGCTGCTGCCGAGAGACGCCTGGTGCCACAGCCGTGTGCACCCTCGCTGCTCAGGCTGCCCCCATTGCTGATGCCCCTCTTCCTTGCAGGGTGGAGGTGAGGCTAGGCTGGGCCAGCAGAGCAGGGCTCCTCCCCCTCCAGCCCTCCCCAGTGACCCCCAGCTCCACCAGGTAATGCCCTAGACCATAGGAGGGCCCCTGTTTGTCCTCGCTCCCCTCGGGTGGGTCCTGCCGCCTCTGCCTTGACCTGGGCACTCAGGGATGAGCACTGGGGCCTGAGCCCCTCCCACAGGGCAGAGCTCTTTTTCTTTAACAGATAGTATTTTCCCCTGATAATACATAATTGTAATATTTAAATAAGTCAGAGAAAGTGAGGTCCTCTCAGGCTCTTAAAAGCACAGCGTTTGGTCCAGGCTGTACGCACTGCTCTCAGCTGGGCCCATGGGTGGGCCGGGCGCCCCTGCTACAGCCAGGAGCTTGAGGGTCCATTGGGAATGCCAGGCTTGTCCTTGGTGCCCAGCATGGTTTCCTAATGAGGTGGAAGCAGTGTGGTGGGTGCCTGCCGTGGTGGGTTACAGAACTTGACCACTTGGCACCAGGGGCTCTGTGGGGCCCTGGCACTTAGGAGTGACAGGGCCCAGTCCTGCCCTGCAGGGGCACCCAGGCTGGCAGGCGTCTGGCGGATTGTTAGAATAAGTAAGGTCATTGCTGTGCAGGACCAGCCTAGTCTGGCTGTCTGGAGGGATTCTGGAGGAGGTGGTATCTGGGAGACCCCTGAAGGCACAGCAGGCACCATCCTGGCAGGGCACAAGGAGGGTGGGGCCTGCGGGTGGAGGGTTCAGCAGGTGCTGAGGTCAGGAGAGACCTCCCTGGGCCTGGCCCCACTGCCCTGTGAGGAAGGGCGCATGTGGTGGGTGTACAGTTCCAGCCCCTAGAACACAGCAGCCCATGAGAAACTGGGTTTTCTTCCCAATAGGGATGGCCCCGAGGGGTGTCCGTTAGAGACCAGATGGATGGGGAACAGGTGGTCAGGGTGGAATTTCAGGCCCTGGCAGCATGGGAGCAGGGCAGAGACCGGGGAGTTCAGGTACCCAGAGATGCTGGGGGAGCCGTTTTGGGAAGGAGGTGGCTCTCGGGAGGGTGCTGCACCCCAGCGCAGTCTGCATGGGCGTCTCTTGCCTGTGCCAGAAGAATGAGGACGAGTGTGCTGTGTGCCGGGACGGCGGGGAGCTCATCTGCTGTGATGGCTGCCCTCGGGCCTTCCACCTGGCCTGCCTGTCCCCTCCACTCCGGGAGATCCCCAGGTGAGCCTGCACCTCTGCCAGCGCAACCAGGTCACCCCAGTTCACAGCCACCTCCACCCACTGACCCTGAAGGGAAGCCCCCCCAGGCTCTCCCATCCAGGATGGAAGGGAGCTCTGAGTCAGGTCACTGGGCCATGGGGCCAGGGCCTGGGGTTTTCCCACCCTGCCACCTGCCTCCCAGCCTGGCCACACCGGCTGCCCAGCTGGGCCCCTGAGGGCAGCAAAGCAGAACAGAGGCCCCAGGTGAAGATGCCGCCCTGTCCAAGCTCATCCCAGGCTGCAGCCCCCACCCCCAAGCCCCACCCCAGAGTCCCGCCCCAGACAGGGCTGGGGAGCACAGAGGCCACAGAGCCGCACCCCCAAGGGCAGGTGGGAGCTTGTCCACCAATGCACAGGACCCCGGGCTTAGTGGGGGTGGGAGGCCTCCTCTGTGTTCATATCCCAGCACTCCCTCCCCACAGCCCACCGAGCCCTGCCCTCACTCCAACCCCACAGGACGTGGCAGTCTGTGGGAGGAAGAGCTCTGGGAGGAGTGGGGACCCACGTTCAGGCGAGGCTCTGTCCCAGCCCCTAAGTGGCCTTCACCAGGCCCCCTCTCAGCCTCTTGCGTCATCACTAGAATAAGAGGCGCAGCCAGGGGCCTCGCTCGGCTCCTTCTGAAGCCGTCCTCCTTGCTGTCTCTTCCTGCCCTTGATCACCTCCCATTCTGCTGGGTGCCATTCCCCTTAAGGAAACAGGATGGGTCCCGGGACATAAACAGTCAGCTTAGGGGGGCCCCCAGCAGGGCCCAGCCCTGAAAGGCAGGCAAAGCCACTGTGGGCTCGCAGGTGTTGGGGATTCCTGGAGTTCATCAGAGAGCACGCCAAGGGGACCCTGATCGCGCTGGCCAGGGCCACCCCACTAAGGGTAAATGTCCCCCTGGGGGCTCTCCCTTCCTGTGTCTCTGCCCATCTCCCTGCTGTGCCTCGGTTTCCCCTCCGTAAAAGGACATGGTGCGGCGGAGCCCTCGAGCCCCACCCGTGGGTTTGGGGATCTGTCACCCGCTGTCTTGTTCTGCATGTCTCTGACTGGTGGACGCACGAGCAGTGGGACCTGGAGGTGCTCCGGCTGCCTGCAGGTGACAGTCCAGGAGATGCAGCCCCGGGCAGAGGAGCCCCGGCCCCAGGAGCCACCCGTGGAGACCCCGGTATGGCCACGCCCACTTCTAGGCCGGGCCACCCCTCCTGTCTGTCTGTCCCCTGGAGTCCTGTGGGACAGGCCTACCCCAGCCGCAGCGCTGTGCCCCTCATGCACACGCCTGGTCCTTGTGGTCCCCTGCGGTGGGGCCCCCATCATGGTTCCTATGGGCAGAAACCCAGCTCTCCTGGCTGCGGATCCACCCTGGGGAGGCACTATGAGCATTGATAATGGCCCTAGAAGATGTGCTCATCGTTCTGCTGCTGTGAACACAGGAGGGCTACTGTGCACAGGCCCAGTGTTCCCTCTGACAGCCCTGAGGGCCAGGGGGCCCCTCGTGTGTAGACGGGGGAGGAGGGAGGACCACAGAGCCAGGAACTGCCACAGGCCTTTCCCACTCAGTGTGGACGCCTTCCACCACACCGGCCCTCCGCCGGCACCCTGCTGCCCCGGGTTTCAGGGTCCCAGCAGTCACTGACTCCCGGGTGGTGCCCGGCAGGTGCCCACGGCCCCTCTGATGCTGACCCTTGGGTTCCAGCTCCCTCCGGGGCTTAGGTCGGCGGGAGAGGAGGTGAGAGGTCCACCTGGGGAGCCCCTAACTGGCATGGACACGGCTCTTGTGTACAAGCACCTGCCGGCCCCGCCTTCTGCAGCCCCCCTGCCAGGGCTAGACTCCTCGGCCCTGCACCCCCTACTGTGTGTGGGTCCTGAGGGGCAGCAGCAGGTGAGCGGGGAGTGCAGGCCAGGGTGGGCTCTTCAGGGAGCCCAGGACCTACATGGCGGATGAATTCACCTGAAACAGGAGGAGAGGGAGGCCAGGCGAGACAAGGTCTGGGAGGCACAGGGCCTGGGGCTGTGGGGGAGCGTGGGGGGCTTCAGGGAAAAGGGGAGGCTCCTAGACCTCCACTCCAGCTCCTGGCCCTGGGCATTACTGCTCCCCCCACAAGGCAGGACAATAAAGGGGGGGATGGCCCAGCGCACATGGGAGCCCGCCCTGCCCTGCCTCAATTCCCCTCACTGCAGTCCTGTTGGCACCGCCCTTCAGGAGACTCCTGCACTCAGCCCCAAAGGAGGCCGGGCCGGCCAAGCGGGAGAGAGGTGTGGGCACCAGGCTTGCCTGAGGGTGCTTGGGTCTCCCCTGCATCCTGGGGATGGGACTGGTCCCACTGTCCTGCAGCCTCGGCCGCACCGTGAGGCTTCCCACTTGCTCCCAGAGCCGCTGTCCAGCCCTGGGTGGTCCCAGGGGAGAGCACGGAGGCCTTGGGTTCAGCTACGTTTCCCCCCGGCCCCCTGTGTCACCCCACGGGGTCGCCTCCCACAGAGTCCAGTTCCTGGCGCACGGTGCGGGGTGTGCGGAGATGGTACGGACGTGCTGCGGTGTGCTCACTGCGCTGCCGCCTTCCACTGGCGCTGCCACTTCCCGGCGGGCACCTCCCGGCCTGGGTGAGTGTGGTTGGCATGGAGGCCCAAACCCACACCCACACCATACAGCTCAAACCACACCCCATCCACACCCTACACCCTATACTCATCCCCCACACCCCCCACCCACCCCACACCCACACCCTGCACCCCACCCTACACCCTACACCCCACCCTATAACCTGCACCCCACTCCCACCCACACCCCCTACCCACACCCTGCACCCCACCCACAACCCCCACCCTGCACCCACACCCGACACCCACATCCCACACTTCAAACCCACATCCTATACCCCACACCCACATCCTACACCCCACACACCATACCCACACCCTACACTCCACAGTCACACGCCACTACACTCCCACTCACACCCTACACCCCACCTCATATCCTGCACCTCACCCACACCCCACAGCCACACCCCACCCCACACCCCACACCTCCCATTCCCACCCCATAGGCCCCCCGACAGCCTGCACCCCACTCCCACCCCACACTCCCATCCACACCCTACACCCACCCCGCACCCTACACCCCACCCAAACCCACCACTCCCACTCTCCACCCATACCCCTTCCTCACACCCCACACCCCATCCCCCACTCACCACCCATGCCCACACCCCACACCCAACACCACCTCCCAGCACCCCACACTCCATACCCCGGAGGTGGCACTCCTGCTACCCCCAACCTGGCAGCCCCTCATCCTCTGCTGCAGGACGGGCCTGCGCTGCAGATCCTGCTCAGGAGACATGACCCCGGCCCCTGTGGAGGGGGTGCTGGCCCCTAGCCCCGCCCACCTGGTGCCCGGGCCTGCCAAGGTCAGTGCCACAGGAACCCTCCATGAGTGCTGGTGGTGAGGGTGGGGGACCCCTTGGGTTGGGGTTGGGGGAGCACGTCTCAGGACAAACCCTGGGTGCCAGCTTCGAGGGTTTGCACCATACACACTGACCATGTGGTCATTATCTGTAGACAATAATTTCCCTTTAAACCTAATTCTTTTTGGCAACTTAAATATAGTTAAAAGGAAGCTGCCTCCAGGGTTGGTGACTGACATCACGGTTGGTTGTGTGGCCGCCTCACAGCAGAGGCCTGAGAGTCTCACCAGGGTGCCCTGGTGGGGTGAGAGGAGAGCAGGAGTGCCAGGCCTACAGGAGTAAGCCCCAACCCCGTCTGACCCCTCCAGGCAGTCTCACCCGCAGTCCTCCCTGGGGCCAGGATCCACCCCATTGTGTGGCCGGAGCCTCCCAGAGAGGCAAAGCAACCCTGGGTCCAGCCAGTAGCTCTTCCTTTCCTCCTGCTCTACTGTCAGAGAGGACCCGGGTGGTGGGGGGACCCCTGACTGCTGGGGCGGCCTGGCTTGCCCTGGAGCTGGCTGTGGGGGCGGCCTGAGTCACTGCTGCAGGAGCCTCGGGTGGTGGCCTCTTGCCCTGACTGTCCTCAGCAGAGGCCTCCTGAGCACATCCCAGCCACGGAGGAGCCTTTAGGGATCCTGGGGTGATTACATGTCCCACCTGCTCCACTGGCCCACACACTTTCCCAGCTCTGCCTCCACCCCATATACACCGTGTGGTGACAGGCCACCCCGGCATGGTACTCCCTGGGCAGGTGACAGGCCACCCCGGCATGGTACTCCCTGGGCAGGTGACGGGCCACCCCGTCATGGTACTCCCTGGGCAGGTGACAGCCCGCCCCAGCATGGTACTCCCCAGGCATGTGACAGGCTGCCCCGCCATGCAGGCTCTGGCCTGGCATGGCACAAGCCTCAGACCAAGCCCTGCCCTTGGGGCTTTTGTGGAACAGTGGCTTGGCCCGCAGCTGTCGCTGTCCCCTTCCTTCTAGAAGCCTCCCTCCTCACACCACCCACGTGGAGTCCGTGCCCTATGCAGATGCCCCTCCCCAACCCCAGGCAGCTTTCTTGCAGCTGCTCCTGCAGCGGGTACCTCATCATTAACCTACTGGGTTCTGTCTTTGAACAGCAGAGACCTCTGTGTTTTCATTGCGGTGTGAAATGTAACGCCATGTTAGAGGAAAAGTTCTGGCTGGCCTTGGCCCCTCCCCAACCTGCCCCCCTCCCCCAGGGTGGTTGGGTATGTCCCCAGCCTGCCCCCTTCCCCCAGGGTGGTTGGGTGTGCCCCCACACCCCGTCCTGAGCAGGTCTCCCACCCACTGGCAGCATCCTTAGGACCAGGGGAGCATCCAGGGGCTTTCCCCTCCAGACTGAACAGCCCCTCCCTCAGCCACGCAGGGCTGCAGGGCCTTGCAGCGCCAGTGTTCACCTGAGTGGAGGAGCTGGGATGTGGCTGTTTGGGGCTACAAATGGGCAGTTCCACAGGGTTCAATTTAATATGGTCTCCTCTTTGCTGGGGGTGCCCGCCTGGGGACCTTCCCCCACTCTGGCCACTCACCCATGGCGTGGGCTGGCCCTGGTGGTGCTTGTCGGGGGCGGGGGTGGCATGGACCAGACACTTTCCTCTCTGGGCCTCAGACTTCCCCTCTCAGAGTGGGGCTTCCTTGCTGGTTCCCTGAGCCCTCTCGTTTTCCCCAGGAGGCCACACAGTGTGGAAGCTGTCTGGGGGCCGTGGGCAGCTGGCCGTGGGCAGTGAGCAGGACCCTGGGCAGGCAGCCCCAGCCCCATCATGCCCACGTAGCCCTGTGCCCTCACCCCCAACGGGGCTGGGTGTAAGAATTCCCATCTCAGTGTGGGGGGGAAATACCCCCGTGGCCCGTAGGCCCTGTGGCCTCTGTGTCCCCGCCAGGGCTGTGGGAGTTGGGTTGACCTCTTCTCTTTCCTGGGTTCCAGGATGACACTGCCAGTCACGAGCCCACTCTGCACAGGGAGGACCTGGAGTCCCTTCTGAGCGAGGTAATGCCTCCCCTGGCCTCGGCTGCACCTGCTGCTCCTCCACTCCCCCTCCCCTGCCTCAGCCGGCACCCAGGCCCCCCACTCTGGGCACACTGAGGACTGCCAGCCCCCGCTGCTCTTGAGCCATGGAAACTCAGGCTGTCCCTGCGCCACCAACCAGGAGCCCCAGTGCTGCTGAGCCCCTGGCATCCCCCCACAGGAGCCCCCCAGCCCCCCACAGGAGCCTCAATGCTGCTGGGCCCCTGGCACCCCCCAACAGGAGCTCCCCTGGCCCCTGCCCCGGCAGGAGTCCAGTGCTGCTGAGCACCCCCAGCCCCTCCCCGACAAGAGCTCCCACACGGCCCCTTGCCCAAGGGCCTGGACCCTGGCAGGCAAGGCTCGAGCACCAGGCCCAAGATCCACTTTTCCAGGGAGGGTGGGGTGTGGGAGTGGGGGGTCCCGGGCCCCGTCCCTCTGAGAGTTGCTTGCCCCTCCCTACTCAGGCCTTTCTATGCTAAGATGGGCAAGTAGAATCTGTGGGCAAAATGTGACTTTTAAAGCCTCGTCTGTTTTTGGCAAGAGGATAAGCTCCTCCAGCCTCCACAGGTTCTCCTGTGTCCGGCGTGGCACCTGGGGGTCCCAGCTGACCATGGGGCAGGGGTCCTGCCCTGTGCAGTGGCCATGCCCCACACACCCTGACTGTGCAGATGTCTGTAGAACCCCAGGGCCGGAGAGTATTTTTACTTACTAAGTATTTTTACTTACTAAGGGCTTTGAAGGCTCTTGGTCTTGTTTAACCTAAATTTCTAGTGGATAGCCAAAATTAGGGGGGAGATTGGTAGTAAAAGAGTGGAGGCAATGATGAGTGGGGGAATAAGGAGTGTGGGTTTTGTATTTTCGAATTACCATGTTATTTTTGTGTTGTTAGATGTAGGAAATAGTGTTAGGGAGACGACATAGATTAGGCGCATATAGAAGTACAGGTTAAGTAGAGTTATGGTAATTATGATGGAGGGGATGAGAAAGTTATTGTTTATTGTGAGTTCTTGAATGACAATTCATTTGGGTAGGAAGCCAGTCAGAGGGGGTAGGCCTCCTAGGGATAGGAGGGTAGATGCTATTAGTGGTGCTGGGTAATGGAGCTGCTTCTCTGGACGGGGTCCCCGGATATAGCTGGAGAAATAAGGGTCAGGCTTACAGCCTCTCCAGGGTGGCGGCCTTATTCTGCTGGCATTGTGGGGCCTGTGGGAACATCCTGTGGGAACATCAGGCTCCTGAACAGAATGAGAAGCAGCCGGCCCTGACCCCCAACCCCAAAGGAGCCACCCGAGGATGCAGAACTGCCATGAACTGCCATGGGGCTGTGCCCTGGGCTTACAGGATGCGGTGAAATGTACAGGACGGGGTCCTCCTCTGACTGGCCTGTGCCGTGGGGCCTCGGGCCTCAGTTTCCCCTCCTTTGAATTAGAGGGAAGGTTGGACGATCCTGTGGCCATGGCAGGGCGCCCCTGGAGGTTCTCACAGTTGCTCTGTCCCGCAGCACACCTTTGACGGCATCCTGCAGTGGGCCATCCAGAGCATGGCCCGCCCGCTGGCTGAGGCGGCCCCCTTCCCCTCCTGACCCTGGACGGCCGGGACACGCAGCTCTGATGGGAGGGCACCGAGAAAGACACCTCCTCCCTCAGCCCTGGAAGCCGGCCTGCTGGGACCCAGAAGGGGACAGTGCCACGTCTTGTCAGTCCTCGGCTGTAAACACAGCCCTGTGTTTGTGGGGACACCAGCCATCATGTGCCCGGAAATTAAAACCTGTGGTTTCGAGATGCTTGTCAGTGGGGGCATTTGTTTGGGGCATTCGTGTGCCTGATGCCTGAAGTGTTGGCCAAGCTGGCTGGAAGGGAGCTCGCCGTAAGGGAATGGGGTGCCTGTAGGCAGGAGTTCACCAACAAAACCACGAGGCTCTGTTCCATGCCTCCCCAGCAAAACCCAAGCCCTTGCTGTACACCCGCAAGACCCTGCATGGTCCGGTCCCCAACCCCGGCCTCCACCCCTTACTGTGCTCTTGGCCTCCCTCCGTTCCCCCGGCAGCCAAGCTCGTTCCTACCTGCTGGCCTTTGCTAGGCGTTCCCTCTGCCTGGACGCTCCTTCCCCTGGGGCTCTGAGTCTGGCTTCCCATCATTGACATCTCAGCTCCAATGTCACCTCCTCATTCATTCATTCAAGAAACCTTTATTATACATCTTCCATATGCTGAGTATTTTCCTGGGACTTAGGGGGGCCCCAAGGAACATTTTGGTGGGAGGGGTGGATCATGTAAAGAAGGAGGGTGGCCCTGGATGGGGTAACTGCTGCAAAGCAGGAAACAGGCAGAGCAGGGCTGGGCATGTGATGGTGTCACAGGGACCGTCCTCAGAGGAGGAAAGGAGCTTCGGGGCGCGCCTGGCAAGTGCAAAGCTGTGGGAGCAGGGTGCATGCCAGGGAACGCCAGCGCTCGTGCAGACACAGGCAGGTGCCCATAGATCGGGCTCCGGCTGCCATGCCTGTGTGCACGCACCGGGGAGCAGGGAGTGGGGGGGCTGCAGGGGGCGGGTGCTCCCTGAGGCTCGGCCCCTGACTACCTGAGAGGTGGACCTCCCTGCCTGGCCCCTGCATTGCTGGGCCCTTGTGCCCCGAGCTGCTGCCCCTCTCCCTGTCCCTGGCCAGGGCCTCTGGTGGGGGTTAGTTGCTGATAGGATGACGGGGCTGGAGCTTGCCAAAGCCCCCCTCTTCAGAAGCCACTGGGGCTCTGACCCATGAAGGCTGAAAACACAAAGTGGCCCCCAAATGCTGAAGAAGGGGCCCAGAAACAAAGAACAAGGCCGACAAATCCGGTTTGCCGGTGGACAGTGTCCTGCTAGGGCACTTTCCGACAGAAGCGTGGTCTTGCAAGACAGGTGGGTCTCTGCACTGCTGCTCCCCAGACCCATAGCGGGAGGGTGGACGTGCTGTGTGCAGACAGTCAAAGGTGACCCTCCAGGACGGCCAGACCACTGCCTGCGTCGTGGCCTCTAGCTGTGAGATAATGTCAGGTTGACGTGTTCTCACGCTAGGCACACTAGGCACAGTAGATAAGGTGGAAACCAGGAGCCGTTCATGTGACCAGGGCCAATCAGAAGTCAACGTGGTGGATTGGCACCCAAGAGGGAGCCACCTTTGTCCCCATGGGGTGATGGGGTGGGGCCGTGGCATCCAGGGCAGTTAGAGAGCTGGCCAGGGCGATCCCAGATGCTGCAGACACGCCACCCATCAGGGCCCAGCGCCCGCCACTCCACAGCCTTCTCCCTCCCCAAATGCACACTGGCCATGAAGTCCTCTGGCCCCTGTTCCCAGGCACGGACCCAGCCTTCCCCCTCAGCCCAGTGCTCTGCTGACACCTGGGGTCTCACCTTGGGGGCCCGGGAACCCCAGTCTCATCAGAATTCCTCTACAGACAGGTCCAGGAGGACCCTGCCCCTGGGCCCAGCATCCCTTCGTGGGGGTTGGTAGTTCCCACTGCGCTCACGTGATTGTCCTCAAACTCTGCACCGCTCTTCTTTCGGACTTGAGCCCTGAAGTCCTACCCTCCCGTCATCCAACTGCACGGGGCTCTGGGGGCTCCTCCACCAGCCGCAGCTCAATTCCCTTAGAAACCGCGAGGATTCCGTTCAGAGGCACGGATGGGTGGAGAGTGCATGGAAGAATCCCCTCCTTCTGCCCCGCAATCACTGGGCTGAGGACCAGGAAGGCGGGGACGGGGCCTCTTGAGGGCTTGTGTGTGCATCTCAGCAGTCGGCAGCCTCCGCTGCTCTCTATAAGCATGTGTTCATTTGGTGTTTTAAAATGTAATTAGAAAACCACAAAAGAATGACTATCTTTCACTGGGTGGCCGGGCTGCCGCCCCCACCCCGCCGTCCCCACAGCCTCACGCTCCTCCTGCCACCTGCCTTTAGACACCAGGCCTTCCCCGCGCTCGGCTGTCTCTCTGACGGGACGGAGGTTTGTCTCCTTCCTCCAGCCACTGGAGCGAGGTCTGCCCACGTGACAGGCCTGCCATCTGCTGCTGAGCGTCTGAGCACACGCGCGGGCAGGTTGTTCACACAGGCAGCTGCAGTGCACAGAGCGGTCTACACAGCCTGCGCCGGCCCACAGAGCGGTCTACACAACCTGCGCCAACCCACAGAGCGGTCTATACAGCCTGCGCCGGCCCACAGAGCGGTCTACACAATCTGTGCCAATCCACAGAGCGGTGTACACAATCTGTGCCAATCCACAGAGTGGTCTACACAGCCTGCGGCCCACAGAGCGGTCTACACAGCCTGCGCCGGCCCACAGAGCGGTCTACACAATCTGTGCCAACCCACAGAGCAGTCTACACAGCCTGCGCCGACTCACAGAGTGGTCTACACAGCCTGCGCCGGCCGACAGAGCCGTCTATACAACCTGCACCAGTCCACAGAATGGTCTACACAGCCCACACTGGCCCACAGAGCGGTCTACACAACCTGCATCGGTCCACAGAGCAGTCTACACAGCCTGTTCCACCTCCCATGTTCCTTTCCTAGGGTGGCTGTGACAAAGGACCCCAGGTCAGAGGGTCAAATAATAGACATGATTCTCCCACAGACCTGGAGGCTGGGGTCCGAGTCAGGGTGCGACAGGGCTGGTTCCTGAGGCCCCTCCCCTGGGCTGGCAGATGCCATCGTCTCCTCACTGTGTCCTCACAGGGTTATCATCGTCTCCTCGCTGTGTCCTCACAGGGTCATCCGTGTGTGTGTCTGTCCTCATCTCCTCTTCTCACAGGACACAGTCAGACTGAATCATTTTTAACTTAATTGCCCCTCTTTGTTTTTGTTTGTTTTGTTTGTTTGCTTTGAGATGGAGTCTCGCTCTGTTGCCCAGGCTGGAGTGCAGTGGCCGGATCTCAGCTCACTGCAACCTCCGCCTCCTGGTTCAACGTGGACTTCTCTGCCGTCAGCCTCCTGTGCTAGCTGGACTACAGCGCACCCGCGGACCAACACCCAGCTAATTTTATGTGGGGGTGTGTGGTGTGTGTGTGTGTGTGTATATACTATATAGTACTAGTATATCTAGTATATATATTTTTTTTTTTTTGAGACGGAGTGCTTGGCGCCGTCGCCCAGGCTGGAGTGCAGGGCCGGATCTCAGACTCACGCAAGCGCGCCTCCCGGGTTACGCCATTCGTCCTGCGTGCAGCCTCGCGCAGCTGAGCCTGTGGGACCTACACGGTGCCCGCCACCTCGCCCGGCTAGTTTTTTGTATTTTTTTAAGTAGAGACGGGGTTTCACTGGGTTAGCCAGGATGGTCTTGATCTCCTGACCTCGTGATCCGCCCGTCTCGGCCTCCCAAAGTGCTGGGATTACAGGTGTGAGCCACTGCGCCCGCCCTGTTTGTTTGTTTTGTTTTGTTTTGTTTTTCTTGAGACAGCATCTCGCTCTGTCACCCAGGCTGGAGTGCAGTGGTGCTATCAATCACGGCTCACTGCAGCCTTGACCTCCCAGGCTCAAGAGATCCTCCTACTTCAGCCTCCTTACCAGCCGGGACCATAGGCACATGCCACCACGCCTGGCTTTATAATTTTTTTTGTAGAGATGGGGGATTTTGCCTTGTTGGCCAGGCTGGTCTCGAACTCCTGGTCTCTAGTGATTTATCCTCCCACCTTGGTGTCTCAAAGTGCTGGGATAACAGGTATGAGGTACCGTGCCCAGCCTTAGCCACCCCTTTAGAGACCTCACAGTGCCACTGCGAGTCATGAGGGGTGAGGGCTTCGACGCATAGGTCTGGGGGAGACGGACATTCTCCTTGGCCAAGCTCAGGTCGGGTTCCTCTGAGTCTTCTTCTAGATGAAGCCTCAGGCTTGGGCTCCAGCCCTGGTCCACTTAGTCCAGCTCAGCTGGAGTCCTGCAGAGTCAGGTTAGCAAGTGTTGTGTGTACTTCTGCATAACATCCCCACCACCTACAGCAGCTGTTTGAATCCCTCGGGGGCTGGGGTGGCCTCAGGGGCAGGCCCTGCCCTTGGTCTCTGCTCAGGTGTCACTGTTCGGAAATTGTCAATAATTTATGAACAAAGAGATCTGAATTCTGCCGTGCTGAGCCCTACGGCCGTCGTGCCCGAGGTGCTGTGGGCTACGGGACTGGCCAGCTCCGGGTCGGGGCATTCTAAACACCCAGGTGGAGAATCGGTGGACACTGGCAAGCCTGCTGGGCTCAGAAGAGTCAGTATTTCTGGAAAAGATTAGACTCAAGATAGCAAATCAGGCTGGAGCTCTGGGCTCAGAATCTTAAGTGGATTAAAAGCACCCCTCACCCGCCTGCCCTGTAACTGGAGCTCCCGCACGCTCCATGATACTAACCTGGGTGATTCAGGACGCATTCAAAGAGGCCTCAGCTCTTCTGCGAATTCCCAGCGACCTCAGGGCTTGCAGAGCTTCCCCTTCCTGGGAAGGCTGGGCTGGCACCTGCAGGCAGGGGTCCTCTCAGGGGTCCCAGGGACAGGTTCTGCTCAGTCTCTGGGACCCACCCCCCACAGGAGGTTCCTCTTGCCACCCCTTCCCACCTGTGGCTTTTCCTACACCATCTTCACCCTGGCTCTTAGCTGCCGGCTTAGGGTAGACTGGATCTGTTCACAATGGAAGTGCTCAATTCAGCGTGGCTAAAAACTACCTAGCTCTCTTCTAAAAACACACCCCAAATGGCCAGGCATGGTGGCTCATACCTGGAATCCCAGTACTTTGGGAGACTGAGGCAGAAGGATCACTTGAGCCGAGGACTTAGAGACCAGCCTG